CTTCTGATTGTAAATATTTACTAGAAGTGCAAATAGACTAGAACCTTACAAAATCTTAACACCAAACTCAAGTCAGCTCCTTTTCTGACTGTTGAAAATGAATTCCCACTCTTAAATGCCTGCCCGAAGTTAGGATGTGGCTAGTGGGTACAGAGAGATAATAAGCAAGCAAATAAGCCCTTCTGTTCTGAAGACGGCCTGGTGGGAGACCCCAAAGCATCACCAGGAAGCACTCCTTGGGCCTATGCAGTCCCTTTTCCTACCCGTCCTGGCGTTTGGGCACAACTGATGGCCGTCGGCACAGTAAGATCCATCAGAACATATCGAACTTATCGAGCTGCATATTCAACTGTAAACAGAAGAAACCGAAACTCACATTCGATCTACTTATACCTAATCATATGGAGCTCAGTCTGGGAAAATCTTCAATATGAAATCCCAAAAAAATAACGTTAAGACATTATGATTTCAGGACAAGCCACAAACCTAGGCCGACACTGGGGAAAAATAATTTAACAACTTCAGTTTTAACTCCTATTTCCCATAATAATAAAAAAATTATTAATTCCCTTAGAAATAAAATTTCCTGGGCATCTGCTCAATAAACAGTGGAAATGCTCCTGTGTTCTACGCAAGCAAGCTCCTTCCCTCAAAAAGTTTGTGGAGCCGTGGACGGTTCAGAACAAGTCAGAGTGATAAGAGCAATGATTAGCAAAGAAAAAAGAGCTATCTCTTGGAGATGGAAGTCAAAAGAGACTTTTCACATGTCATACCTCAGCTGAGGCCCAAACAATGAATACATGTGAGAAGGAGAGAGGCCAGTGGATGAATGTTAGATGCACTGGAAAATCATGGGCAGAGGCTGGAGGTAAGAAAAAGTTCATCTGTTTGGAGGAACAGAAAGAGGTTCATCATCAAGCAAGGAGCTTGTGGGGAGTGGCAAAAGTCCATGTTGGCAAATAAGCAGAGATAAACGTAAGAGTGGGCAGCCTGAGCAACTGCGGGGGAAATTGGAAACGAATAAATGGCGTTAAGGAGGAAAGTCAGAAGCGTACCATGTTTTATCAAAATTTTTCTGATTGCATTATGGAGAAAGAATTGGAAAAGATCAAGAAAAGAATATAGGCAAGAGAAAAATGACAAATTGAGTTATGGCCATGGGAGTGGAGAGAAGTGAGCAGATTTAAGAGCCATTTAGAAGTTGGGAGAGAACAGACTTTATCGGGCAGATTAGCATAATCGTTCAGACTTCTTGTGTTCATACCCTGGTTCTGACCCTTAAGGGGAAAGTTATTTAATCCCTCTGCAACTCAGTTTCCCTTTTTGAAGAGTAGGCACAATAATAGTTGCTGCTTGTTGAATTATTACGAAAGATAATTGATTTAATTCACAAAATGCTCAGAACAGTTTCTAGAGTGTGATAAATGCTTAAAAATTTTGGCTTTAATTATTATTGAGTGTAACTGCCCAAAACTAGAAACACAGTTACCAACTGTAGAATGGGACATGGGAGGGAAAAGGGAGGAAATAGGGACTTCACAAAAGAATTTAGCTTGGATAAATGAATGGATGATAGTAACCATGCCCCTTATTGACCTATTGCGACTCAGCTCCACATCTACCCTTCAAAGCCTGCTTCGAGATATGGGAGTTGGACCCAATAAGCATTTCTCCTTTGTAGCAGGCATAATTTTAAGTTCTGTCAGTAGAAGGCACTGAAGGGTCACTAAAGCAAAGAGGTACTTTTTCTGATTCTATCATGCATCCACTTGCTTCTTTGTTCGTGGCTGCCAGTAGTGCATGTAAGGTCATCCACTGATGCTCACCCCCATCAGGTTTCAGTGGGAGATTCCCAGGAGTCTCACAGATAGTCTAGAAGTTGCCTGGCCTACCTGCATCCCAAAAGGAGGTTTTCTGCTTGAGATTGCAGATAAGCTCTGGCCTGGAGCAACCCAGAAAACCTCCCTGCCATCCACACTTTCTCTAATACAGTCTAAATTCCAACCAGCTTGTTCTTTCCTTAGCTACTGTCTCTCAACTGTAGTGTATTATTCACCCCTTTAAAGTTAATTTCCTGTTAATTACCTATAATTCATAATTATAGGTAATTAACTATAATTATATGTAATTACCTATAATTAACAATTATTTGTATTAATCATTTCCTGTTCAAGTTACTGTGTGTTTTCTGTCTCCTAATTGGACCCTGACTGATGCAGTACTATTCATCGAAATGAGAAACATAGAAGGAGAGATAGATATTGAAAAGACAAATTCCATTTTTGACACACTGAACTTGAGATGCTTGTGGGATGTCCAAAAGCACTGTCTAGTAGAAAGCTGTTTTGGGGGAGTGTTTGGGGGAATCAAAAGCTCAGAAGTGACTGGGCTGGAGAGATAGGCTTAGAATTGAGTAGTCTTAGAGCCACTAAATGAAGCATGTGTTTAAATGCCATAAGTTAGAGAAAGAGACTTTTTTATTTTTATTTTTTTTGAGACGGAATTTCACTCATGTTACCCAGGCTGGAGTGCAATGGCGCGATCTCGGCTCACCGCAACCTCCACCTCCTGGGTTCAGGCAATTCTCCTGCCTCAGCCTCCTGAGTAGCTGGGATTACAGGCACGCACCACCATGCCCAGCTAATGTTTTGTGTTTTTGGTAGAGATGGGGTTTCACCATGTTGACCAGGATGGTCTCGATCTCTTGACCTTGTGATCCACCCGCCTCGGCCTTCCAAAGTGCTGGGATTACAGGCTTGAGCCACCGCACCTGGCCTGAAAGAGACTTTTTTTAATTTTTCATATGCTCATCAAGAGACCCTAAACCAATTAATCTGTATGTATGTAGACAGTAGCACATTTCAACAAAAGATTTATGGTGATTTCATACTGTGTATGTTAGGTAATGTTCTATATCTGCTAACGCTTTCAAAGCTAAATGAAGATATGATTGAAAAGAGCCAAGCCCCTTTTTTTGTTGGTTTTTTTTCTTTTGTTTGAGACAGAGTTTTGCTATGTCGTCCAGCACAGTGGCACAATCTCAGCTCACTGAAACCTCCATCTCCCGGGTTCAAGTGATTCTCCTGCCTCAGCCTCCAAAGTAGCTGGGGTTACAGGCATGTGCCGCCACTCCTGGCTAATTTTTGTATTTTTAGTAGAGATGGGATTTCAGCATGCTGGCCAGGCTGGTCTCAAACTCCTAATATCAGGTAATCCACCCACCTTGCTCCCCCAAAATTCTGGGATTACAGACATGAGCCATGTGCCTGGACCAAGCCCCATATTAGTAAGAGAATTCTAATTACCTTCCAAACTTGGAGGCTTAACCTAGCAGAGGTAGGAAGCAATTAGTCATATGTGGATGCTGACTGGAATCAGGAAAATTCTAATGGATGTGCCAACACCCCAAGTAGCAGCAATGAAAACTGGTGAGCTGCTTAATTTGCATTTTATTCAAAAATGACAACTAGATACAAATATATTTTGAAAAAGACCCAGGTTAACGCCTTCTGCTTTTTCTGGGGTGTGAATTCATTCAACAAAACTTGCCCCTTGATTCATCCATTTCTCAAAATTTTGGATCTACTGACCACACCACACACACACACACACACACACACACACACACACACACACACAAAGAAATTCCATCAGCAGTTTGCAAAAGAACAATTTGGAAGAGAAATGTATTAAATCCTCAGGGAAATTAAACCCAGATAATCCAATAATGGCACTACAAAATTAACACTAGACTATAAATTGAATTAATTGCCTCCTACTGTGGGGTTCTTGGCTACCACAAACCAAAACAAATGAAGCCAATGATGTCAAATGCCTTAAGAGAGACCACAGGCAAGTTTGTATTATAGGAGTTCACCCCCTGTGGTGTTTCAACTTTCCAACTTGTTCTGGAGATCAATACGAAGAAAAATCTTCACTTCTGCCATCTCACATCTCAAATTATATACAGTAGGTTGGTGAGAGATGTGAGAGGTGTGAGAGGTGTGAGAGATGTGAGAGTTCTAGACACAACACAGCAATTATACGACTCTTTGTTAATTACCTCTAAGTGTCTGTGTCTAGAAATTGCTGAACTATTGGGAATCCATGCAAGTCTTTTTCCCTGAGAGGGCTGAAGGGACTGGTGGGAACAACTAAAGGTGTCTCTAGAACCCAGGCAGCCTAGTGATAAGGCAGATATTTAAGAATACCAGTCAGCTGCTTCAAAAGAGACTCACTTTGGCATTTCAGTAAATAAGCGTTTGTTTCTGTAAATTCTCTTTTAATGCCGTGATGTCAGTACACCTTTGGCAATACGGGATTAACTAAATAATGTGGGTCCTGGGACCAACAAAGTTAGCATGTAGTATAATTTACCAAGCCTCTGCTAGTCTTCCTAAGGACTCTGAGAGGCAAGATAGGATGCAGCATCTTGATAGAAAGAAAATTTTGGTAATTACACAGCTTTGCCAAATAAAACCCATAGAGCAAATACAGAGGGCCTGACTGCCTCCAGCTTCTCCTGAGATGCCAGTTTGTCAAAATGCCTATGGAGTATTTGCTCAGATACACATCCTTCACGTTACAGCTGACATTGACCCCTGAAGCTTTTTAATAGCCAAACAGCTTTTTATAAAAAACTAACTCATGGCATTTTGTTGGGATATTATAATTTTTTCACGTTCTTAATTTTGTTTGACATTTCGAAAATACTATGTCTAACTCTTTTGCGTAGATTTTAAAAAAAGAAAAAACCATAGCTAGCATGGATTGAATACTTCTTTTTCCTTCCCTCAAGAATTGACACAAACACCAAAACAAAATACTTTTTGTTTAAGCTTAGAGAAATGAAGCATTCTGTTTGTTTGGAATCTTAATTACTATCACCCCAAACTTACCTAATTAGAAGCTCTTTTATAATGAGGAAAATTATTTTCAAAGTTAATGAATTTGCAAGCACAAACATTGCTGTCTTCCCAGAATGAATTATTCACATTCCTTACATGCATATTTTAGTTGTACACTCTAATTAATATTAGTACTGAAAATGTGTGAGATTGATTTCACTGTCAAAAAAAAAAAAAAACTTTCCTTTGTTTTTAGACGGTATAAAAACACCACAGTTTTTCCTCTTATAAACGCTGTGCTGCACATAAAGACTTAATTTTAGATTTGGACAAAATGGAAATTATTTCATCGAAACTATTCATTTTATTGACTTTAGCCACATCAAGCTTGTTAACATCAAACATCTTTTGTGTGGATGAATTAATGATGTCCAATCTTCACAGCAAAGAAAATTATGACAACTATTCTGAGGTAAGTTTTTTAAATCTATCTAATGTGAGTAACATTAATTATATAACATTCATCCTAAGTGTAATGATTTTGTAAAGATTAAGAAGTAACTTGGTATGTACTCTGTTTTGTGAAATTTCAGTCTTCCTCTAAGAATGTATAAATGTAACCTGTATTACTTAGCACAAGAGCAAACAACCTGGCCTCTGAACTGAACTGGAGAGTATGGTACTTAGCAAGCATACAGTACATTAATAATTTTCAATCAACACACAAGTGCATACTTGTAATAAATGGTTGGCAGAAATAAGATTTGGATACATTTCAGCTGGACATTCAATTTGTTTTAAACTACAAACAAAAAACACACACTTTTATTTTGGGCTTAGCAATTACAAACTGGTCATTGTGTACCTAATCTATATCTTAGTGAAGTTTTTACCCCTAGATGGTAAAATTGCAAGTTGTTTTTATTTTCTTTTATATATTTTCCAAATGTGCTGAAATTAGTGTATATGCTCATTTTACTCAAGCTATAATCAGAAAACAATCATTTAAAAATCTCCATATGAACAAGCTCCTATGGTAAAAACTAAATCTAATTAAATATTATCTGTATTTGAAATGGCTTCTACAAAGTTGGCATATTTGTGATGCAGTAACCCATAAACCAATGAATTCTTTACTAAAAATGTATTTTATATTCTAATAAAAATACAATTGGTTTCTTGAGAAATGCTTTAGAGTAGAGCCCTGAGTAAGATGGAATAAAAAAGAAATTCACTGGGCCTCCTACAGCTGTACCCCAAAACCTGGCCAGCGTCTCTGTTCCGATGTACCATGTTCCCATGTGCCACTCTGGCCTTTAAAGAGAAACATGAAAAAGGAGTGGGAGGCTTCTCTAAAATCAAATTATAAAATATATAAAATATTCCATAAATAACATGAATTTTAAAAAAGTGAATAACTGCAGTGAAATAAACTTTTGCCTCATTTCAGTACTTCATTATGTTCCTGCTGCTTGAACTCATTTCTGTATTCACTATATATATTTTATAAATATTTTATAGTTGTCTTACAATAGTCTAGGGAGAGAGAAACTAGATTGCTTTAAAAAGCTTAATACAAATTATTTATTAAAAAATTCTGCACATAAGAACACAAACTTTGTTTATAGCTTTAACTATTCTGCAGATTAAAGTCTAGATTTAAGTTAATTGGGGGTTTAAATCTATTGCTTACAACAACAATATGTTATTGTAATGGTCATTTCTAATTATAGCCTAGAGGATACCCGAAAGGGGAAAGAAGCCTCAATTTTGAGGAATTAAAAGATTGGGGACCAAAACATGTCATTAAGATGAGTACACCTGCAGTCAACAAAATGCCACTCTCAGTCCCCAACTTGCCATTGAGATTTGGGAGGAACGTTGGAGAAGAAAAAGGCACTGGAGCAACAGCCAACCTGCCTCTGAGATCTGGAAGAAATATGGAGGTGAGCCTCATAAGACATGTTCTTAACCTGCCCCAAAGGTTTGGGAGAACCGCAACAGCCAAAAGTTTCTGCAGGACACTGAGTGATTTGTGTCAAGGATCCAAGCATTCACCATGTGCCAATGACTTACTTTACTCCATGACCTGCCGGCACCAAGAAATCCAGAATCCCGATCAAAAACAATCAAGGTAAATACCTGAAAACCAGTCAAAGTGCATGGGTAGTTATATAGAGGTGGTCTAGAAACTTTAAAAATGACTACATCTTTTCAACATAAGTTTCTAAGAAAGTAAGTTTCCTTGAAGGAGAGAACACAAAGGAACTAAATACCTGTCAACTGGGAACTATAGAAGGCCAGGTATAATAAGCATGGCTCAAGGTATAAAGCCATAAGATGACTTCCCCTAAGCCACATATAACCATCAGTCTCATTATCCTATAGCTGCTCACTAAATCCACGCAATGACAGGATATTGTTCAACACTGGACCTCTCCAACATAAAAAGGTCCCATGGGAGAGAGTTGTTCTCAAGTATAGTACAAAGAACCCCATTTCAATAATCTAAGTCTCAAATGCAGACAGTTTTCTTTCTCAACTTTTAATACAAGCTTTTCTTTTTCCTGGATCTCATTTTATAAATTCTGTTATAATCAATTTTATAATAATTAAGAAATATTCATTATCTGCTATGTACACATCAGAAGGTAAGATTTAAAAATTAATAAGCTACTTATCTATTATTTTATAGTAGACAGTGTATGCTTAAGAAAATTTTTTGATGCTGCCAGGCGCAGTGGCTCATGCCTGTAATCCCGGCACTTTGGGAGGCTGAGGCGAGCAGATCTTCTGAGGTCAGGAGTTCAAGACCAGCCTCACTAACATGGAGAAACCCCCGTCTCTACTAAAAATATTAAATTAGCTGGGCATGGTGGCAAATGCCTGTAATCCCAGCTACTTGGGAGGCTGAGGCAGGAGAATTGCTTGAACCCAGGGGGTGATGGTTGCAGTGAGCCGAGATCATGCCATTGCTCTTCAGCCTGGGAAACAAGAGCAAAGCTTTGTCTAAAAAAAAAGTTCTGATACAAAGTAGAACATGATGCTTTAGTTAAGATCTGAAGAATGTAAAGTGGCAGACTGTGTTACTTTATCTGAGAGACCTTCTCAGGACACTCCTGGTTTGTTTTTTTCGATGGTACTTATCCCTGTCTGACATATATTTTGGGTCCATTGCTTTTATTAGAATTTCAGCCCTACAAATCCCGTAATTGTTGTCCACTGCCATATCCCCAGGGCCTAAGAACTATGTCTGCCACATAGTAAGCCCTCAATATTTAGTAGGATAAATGAAATTAAAAAGGCACTAATAAGGTCCTACAGAGGGTCAGAAAAAAAGAAGTTTTTTCTGTATGTGGAACCCTGCCTTTGAGAAGCAGCTTTCTCTTGAACATTCAGAGACCGGTGGGAAGAAGGAGGTCATTTTTAGGCACTAATGCAAGGTGAGCCGAGAACAGCTAAGGTTCCGTCTGGCAAGAGCGAAAAGTATGCAAAGGAAAGAGGAAAGAAGGCTAGACAGATAGAGTAAGAGCAGAGAGCACAGATACTGAGGACCCAGACAAGGACCTGGGACATGATTCATCAGGAGAGGGAGAACCACTGACATTTCTGCTGAAGTTCTAGGATGTTATACAACGGCAGAATTGACAGCTAATGAGATGTTGGGAGTGAAGTGGTGTAGAGGGAGAGAAATGAATCAGTGATAAATGTTGGGACTGAGTGCCCATCACAGACTCAGCATCCTACCAATACCTCATTCATTTCAAGTACAACACCATTCAGCTCAAGTATAATTAGGCAGTTAGGACTATGGATGGTATTTGTACACACTCTTGCATGATGTTGTTCTGATGGATGAGAACATTTTGTACTGCTTACATTTTAGAAGACTGGTATTCAAGAAGATAGATGATGCAGAATTGAAACAAGAAAAATAAGAAATCTGGAGCCTGTCCCTAAAGCTGTGACCTGTAATCTACAAACGGCTCTATAGCGAAGACCACAAGGAAGAGTAGCTTCATACATTTCATGAGCTATGGATCATCAATGGCAATTTTTCCTTGTCAGTACAGCTATAATGGTATCTTGGAAGTTGTAAAAACATTAAAGCATATTTGTTATGTAAAGTTAAAATGATTTTTGCCTAAATAAAAAAGAGCATTGCAAATGCTTTAGAAATCTCTGGTAATGGGGAGAAAGAGACAGAGGAGCCTCTTCACTACCCTATATAAAAATCATAGACACCGTTACACTTAACAAAAAATTAAACAGAAGAGCACCCTGAAAAACATTGTGATGGAAATTAAATAATTTTCCAGAATGGCATGTTTGACAAGTGAACAGGGATTATAAATCACTTATAAACATGTTTCTGTATACCCTTTCTATCGTGTCAAATGTTAATGAATCTGTGATCAGTTGAAATGTAAATGCCTGTGTAATACTACACAGTAAAAACTCTTAGACTTTAGGGACATAAAAGAAAAAGGCCACTATGAGTTACCTCTTTTAGTGTCTCCTCTATCTACATCCAGAAATTTGCCTCTGGTGAGTTTCTTTTCTCCTCATTTAACATTTCAAGTTTTTTATTTGCAAAAACATCTGACTATTCCTCATCTAGGAATTTAAAAATTCAGTACACAACACCGATGCACAGTGACTTGCCTTTATTCCTAAGGATATGAAGTCCTTAATCAGACCTAACTGGTTTATTGAACAGTCTCAACTCTACTGGGCACACACAGGAAATGGTTTTATTTTTCTCCCATTGTGCCCCCCGCTGGGCTGTGTTGAATCTCTGGCCCCTGCTGATTAAAGGTTCCTTAATGATACCCTGGACATACTGCCTAACTCTCTCGGTCACTTCCTGATATTAAAAAACTTTATCAAGTCCCATTAAAGACGCCAACCTCATATCCAAAAATAAAGTGTTTCCACCCACCCGCATGGCTGGCTGGGCTGGTAGAAGGGCCTGAAGTGGGAAAGGAACAGGTCTGCCCTTTCTCTCCTCCTCTTTTTCTCACCTCAGAGGTAGGGTGCTGGGAGGGAAAATGGTAGGCTCTGAAAAACAATCTGCCCTTTTATCTTCTCCAGGGCAAGGGAGGAATGGGGATGGCAGGGGTGATCAAGAGAAGAGGTCTCCTCCTCTCTATATAAAGTTGCTGCTTCTACAAACGAATTCTTTGGGAAGACTTGCAGGGACCTTCACACAAGTCATCTACCTGGGAGCTCTGGATGCTACTTGATCTCTTCCAACCACTCCTGTCTCATCTGTTCTCCCCACAGTTTTTATTGCCAAGCAGAAAGACTCAAGCCAGCTACCCCCCCAACCCCCAGCGCCAGCTTGATGCATAGAAAATGCAGACACCACAGCTAGGCCAAGGGCTAGCTGCCCCTCCGCTGCCCCTGCTTGTCTCTACCCCTCTTGTACCTGTTGAGAAGAGGCAGGCAGGTCATAAGTCTACTGCCTAAGCAAGCAGCCAGTCAGGAAGTAGCATGCAGCATGCCTGTCAAAACCCCACACTCTAAAAGTGGTTTTCTAGGAACCCGTCTTACTTGCCTTATTGGGGGAGCAGCAGCTGCAGCAGACCCCTCCAAGGCAAACTCTCGTAACTGCACATGTTGAAGGGCACAGCCAAGACAGGGCTGCTGTGGCTCTGCCAGGTCATAGCAAACCATGAGCAGGTATCTGTCTCCTGACATCCATGGTTCTCTTTATTTAGCATCTCTGCTAAAGTATTTAGCCTCTGTACCTCCAGATGTGGTCCCCAGTTGCCAATTCTGAGTGACAGAGAAAGTATCCTGCAACGTCCTGCTACACTGATAAATAAAAGACCACCTGGTCCTGTGGTAGCATATGTCATAGAAATGGGTTCTTTACCTAAGCCCCTAATTTATAGGAAATGTTAGCTGAATAGCCAAGTGTTGGCTGTCCCCTTATCTGCTTGGCTTACTCTGCTGTGTCACCGCACCGGCTCCTTCACCAGCTTCCATAAGAGCCCCACTCACGTAAGTCAGTATGGAGCCTGCGATTTTGTAGAGGATTTGCGGGATCATGAGAGGATCACATTGTACAGAATTTCACTGGGAAAGTCTCCATTAGGCCTCTTCCAAGTCTCTCAATAACTGGACCACTGGCAAGATCCCCTCCTCTCTGACCTCTGTTATTCACTCCCGAGTGGCTTCATGAGCGTGCAGTCCCTGCAGTCACACAAAGCCCCACGCTTGGTTCAGTGCTCTGCAGTCACTGTCTTGAAATTCTTAAGCATTCCAAGGGGCCCCACATTTATATTTTGCACTGGACCCTGGATATCATGTAGCCTGTCTTGCTTTCCCAAACTTGGCCCTGCTGGATCCTACAATATCCCATTTCCTCCGACCTGTGTTTATTAATCAGAGCAGCTTCCATTTTCTACATGAAACCCAAAAACCAGCTTCATGCAGGCGTGGGAGGTCTGCTTCCATCCTACAGTGGATATAAAATACAACTGCATGACTCATGAGACATGCTCAAAATGCAAATTTATTTTTGTGTCCCACTGCTCCTTTCTAATATAAGGAAGGAGGAAGAGGGTGTACAGAAATCTTCCTCTGGCCCTCAACAGAGACTTGGCCAGATGCCATGAACTTCACCTCTCTCTTAAGTAATGTCAGGCCTTTGGCTTCTCTGAGTCAAAAACTCACAGTCAATTCCATTGTCATCAACCTTTCAGTCTACATTCAGCTGTTCGTCCATTCATTCTGCACCCTTCCCATGCTGAGGCCTGAGTCTGGAGACAGGACTGTGGTTGGCCTCTGTTCTCTCTTCCACCCTCACCTGCTGCTTCTCTCCCTGACTGCTTTTTTGGACTCTGCTGGGAGGCAAGGGAATTTGGGATGAAAGGAGAGGGGATGGGACAGTTCTCGCCTGGATGGCCTCACTCTCAGGACTCAGGGGATGGCGCTGCCGACCATGGCTGGACGCTCTCCCTGCCTTTCTGTTGTCCAGCTCCCAGCAAGGTAACAACTCTCTCCAAAGGACTCTCTCCTGAACCCAAATCCTATCCTTTTATTGTCTCCAAAGGAATGAAGGAAATGAGGACTGGTGGAACCAGTTTCCAACCACACCCTTCAAAAAGTCTGCAAATGGTGACCTGGCTTTGGAATTCTTTGTCTATTAGCTTGGGAGATTTTTGTTAAAACTTCACTTTTCGTATCCTTTGCAACAACGATGAATCTCTCCTTAAGAGGAGTGCTCACAGCAGCTAAAATGATGTTTTTGCTGAATCAATATGCGTATATACACATTTTTCTGGCAAGAGTTCATAATTCTTATGGGGCATTCTCAAAGGGGTTTCTGATCCCATAAAGTTTAAGAATCACAATAATAAAAGGTTAATTACTTTAAGTTACTATCTAATTCAACTTGCAAGTGAATACTATTATCTGATTGGCCATTTAGGTGTTGAGAACATAATGCCAGCACAATCAATCAAAGTCATTTCAGTAATTTGGCTTGAACTCCCTCCAAATACTGGCATTTGCAGTGGAATAAAATAGAAGTGAGGTGGTAATTGTGTTCTTCTCCTTCAGGTGCCTTTCCAGGCACTTCCTTCCAAATATCCATTCGACCCCTTCTCTTCACTTTCAACACTTCCCTTTCCCAAGGAAATTCCATCTGGATTGGCCCTAACCCAACCTCCACCTGGCCTGTGAAGGGAGCAGAGTGTGGGGCTGCAGGGGAACGCTGAAATGGGACACACCCCACACTGCAAGGGTTTTCACGGAAGGAGGCTTTCACGAGCTCTCAGGTCCGAATTTCATACATCATGCTATGACAATGACCTTGAGAAATACAGAAAGGAAAAAAAAGTACCGACTCTGGGACAAATTTCTCAGTGAGAAAAATGAAAGGTCAGTGTTCACCTAACTGTGACCGACGAAATGAAACGGACAAGGAAGGTGAGTGTGTTTATTCCTTTTTTCCCTTGAGATCTTCTTGGGGACATTATGTGAGGCTCTGTGACATAAGTATTCTTATTATTTAATGAACACACCAAGCAACAAGTTTATTTCCTGAAAAAGCACACTTTCACATTTCCGTGCCTCAGTTGGCGCTAATTCCTTCAGCTCAAAGGCCTCTTTTCTACCAATCAAAATGCTTTCAGACACAGATCAAATTTGGATGCAGCTGCATATAATAAAAACCTAAGTAATATTGTTTTAACTAAGAGACGCTTTTTTTTTTCCTCATACAAAATGGTCGGGAAGGTAGCTGTTCTGGGCTGGTGTGGGAGCTCCGCACACTCACCCGGGATCCAAACCCTCCCATTCTGCTGCTGCACTGGCCCAAGAACACGGCTCCACCACGCCGGCACATCTGTTTCCAGGCAATAGAAACAAAGGGGCAAGGTAAAGGGGTGCTCTTTCTTTAAAAAAAAAAGCCCCTTTAAAAAGCACCAGCCGGAGAGGTGGAGAGCAAGGGAAGGGAGAGCATTAGGACAAATACCTAATGCATGCGGGGCTTCAAACCTAGATGACAGGTTGATGGGTGCAGCAAACCACCATGGCATATGTATACCTATGTAACGAACCTGCACGTTCTGCACATGTATCCCAGAACTTAAAGTAAAATAAAATAAAATAAAAAGCACCATCCAACCACTTCCTCTTTCATGTAATTGATCACCCCACTCTGCAGGTGAGACAGGGAAATGTCGCTTCTCCACCGAGCACATTGTCCGAACCACTACTTTATAAAAAATGAGCATGAATATCAAGTGGACAACTTGACGGGGCTCCTCACCTATACGAGCTCACTTCTTTGTTATAGAAAATATGGAACATGTTTTAATGGTTTTTCTTCAGTAAACCAGGGTTAACAGTGGTTCTACTGACATTTGGGGCTGCCTTATTCTTGGTTGTGGGTACTTCCTGGTGGATGGTAGGATGCTTAGCAGCATCGGAAGCCTCTAACCACCAGAGACCAGTAGGATCACCCCTCTATTGTGACAACCAAAAATAACTCCAAACATTGCCAAATGCTCCTGAGGATGGAGTGGGGGGTCATCCCCAATTAGAAACCACTGCACTAGACTGCTCTAATCATCTTTGAATCCCCTCCCCCCAGCGTAATAATAGTGGTTATTAATTGTTATGATAACTACGTATTTTAGCATTTAAGGCTAACT